AAGACCTACCCTAGGTATATTTCTACCTAGCCGTGCTTAAACCCGCTCTAATCCTAGTCTATCGGTCCTAACCTAGGTATGTCTCTACCTAATCAGACCTACAAGACCTAGAGAACACGACCTGACAGGACTTAACCTAGGCACTCAACCTAAACCGATCTAGCGGACTTTAAACCAAGTCTAACCGAACATTTCCCTAGGTACATCTTACCTAAACGGATCTAACACACTCTAGACCAGACCTGATTGGACTTAACACAAGGTATATTTCTACCTAACCGACCTCCTAGACTCTCGCACAAACCTGATTGGACTTACCCTAGGCATAATTTTGCCTAACCGACCTATTAGACTCGAAACACAGCCTACCTTAAGACCTGATTACGTCTAACCAGACCTAACTTAAGGCTACACAGACCTGATTACGTCTAATCAGACCTACAATACCGAGTCTACATGGCCCCCAACAAAGTCCTAACCAGTCCTACGATCCCGAGTCTACCCGGTCCCTCACAAAGTCCTAATCAGACCTACCCAAGTGATACTTAGACCCTAACAGCCCTAGTTAGATGACCAAAAGTCCTGACTAGACCATCACACGACCCTAATCAGACCTAAGCCAACCCTAGTCGACCAACCCCTGATTAGATGACCCTAAGTCCTAGTCAATCGCCTAAAAGTCCTAATCATCAAACCTAAGCCAACCCCTATTGACTTACCAACCCCTGATTAGACTTTTAACAACCTAATCAGACCTAAAATAAGCCTAATATGACCTACTTTACTTCTGATCAGATCATATATATGTCTAAAACCAACTCCTACAGACCTGCCCTGATCCAAACCGACCCCTACAGACCTATACCTAGTGATCCTAGACATAACCAACCCCTATACCAACCCGTTTTAGTCAAATCCCAACTAATCAGACCTAACCGGTCAATGTACCGGACTCTATGACTCAAACCTGGCACTTAGGAGTCCTATCTAGTCCTAAACTAGATAATACCTAAATCTACAATCAGATTCTAATCTGATCAGACCTAGACAATGTCTCTATAGACATTCTAAACTCTAATCAGACCTAACCAAGCCTATTTTGACCTAATTACCTACTGATCAGACCTAGACTAAGCTAGACTAACTCAAATTTGGCTAAACCAGACCTAACCAAGACCCAAAACAGCCCTTACAGATCTATACCGACCTAAACCAGTCAATCTCAGACCTATACCAGCCTATTTTAGTCTACCCAGACCTCTTACCCAGCTAAACGTCATCAAATCCATATGTGTATATTTGTTATTTTGTATGTATATATAGATATATTTATACATAAGAGTATATATATTTATATTTGTATTTGTATATAGATATGACGATGTATGTATATATGTATTTTTTTTTATTTTGTATACATATATATATATATATGCATTGTATATGTTTTTATATATATACATGTATACATGTATATGTATTTATATATGTGTATGTGTGTATATATAAATATATTTGTATGTATGTATATGTATATATGTATTTTTTTTACTTTTTTATGTTTTTTAATTTTTTAATTTTTTTTTTTTTGAAAATCTGACGTGGCGGGCTGACGTGGCAAAATTTTTCACGTGGCCTTCCACGTCAGCCGTCACGTGGCCTTCCACGTCATCAATTAACGGACATTTTAACACCGTTTCGGATTGTGTAGTAAATTGCAGTAAAATTAGGTAATTCGTATATAGATTTGGGATATTTGATAATATAGTGTAGATTTTTGTTAAATTAAGAATTCGTGTAAAAAAAGGTCACATTTTACTAAATTGGTGTAGGAAAATGTCATTTTCCTTTTTTTTTTATTAAAAAATATTTATTTATTAAAATTACTTTTTTCAATTATTATATATTCTCATCGGGTTGACTTTGGATTTGGATTATATTACTCTGTTTTTAAAAGTCATACCAATCAGTTTTAAATTAAATTCAACTGGATCATATATTATTGGACTTAATTTCTATCTGTACGTCGGACCAAAATCTTTACATATAACCATAACCAAATCTTTACAATACAATAGTGAATACAAATTAATAAGAGCTGGAAAGAAAACAAAGCAGAAGCGATGAATAGTTGCAATAAAACTATAGGTTATATAATATTTCCCAGCATGACATATGATCAAAATAATACAAACCCGCAACTGACCAGAAGATTCAATGGTTGTGGTGGTTCCACGAGGGAAATATTCGATAACAGGTATAGGTGTGCGGTGGAACATGGACCAACACATTTAATATCATTTCACAGTTTAAAAAAATGAGAAAATTAAAAAAAAAAAAAAAAACAGATTGAATGTGGGTAGAGAGCCAGAGACCAACAGGACAGGAACATGGTAAATTCATGCAAATACCAAGGAATAATTTGAAACAACATTTTAATAACCAATGTAAATGGGTAAATTTTATTTAATTTTGCATTAAAAAAAATTAGTGAATGCAAATGCAGAGTGATATTTTTTATAAAAATTATTTAATACCGTCCAAGGTTTTGGTATGTCATATATTTTGGTCCGACCGATCCCTCGATCTAAAAGTTACGGTATTCTAAAAAAAACTAGACGAGAGTGAGCATGGTCTGTCTTGTTTCTTCCGATCCTTTCTCGGGGTGAACCTCCAGTATTCTGTGGAGGTCGCCGGTTGTTGTTTCGTTCTGTTCTTTCTTCTAGTGGATTCGCCGGCCCCGTCCGGCCGAGATGTAGGCCCGAGAAAACTCGGTAACCGAACTCGTTAAAACTCTGGTGTCGTTTCTTCTTCTTGCACGAACGAGCGTCGGAGTGGCCGTGAGAACTCGATACCGACTTCACAAAGTGGTCAGAGTTTTAACGAGTTCGGTTACCGAGTTTTCTCGGGCCTACATCTCGGCCGGACGGTGCCGGCGAATCCACTAGAAGACGGAAGAAACCATCGGAGAACAAGAACCGACGGTGCTCCACAACTCGGAGACTCGTCGATCGGAAAACCAGTCCGAAGACAACCAAGAAAGACGAGGAACAACCACCTTACCGACCTCGACTCACTTACCTTGAGCCGCCGTTGAGTCCGAGCTTCACCGACGCCGGGAAGCTCCGTCGTTGTCATCGCCTTCTTCTCTCCTCCGGTCTCTCTCTCGAACCTTCTGCCTCGAGCCACACGCCACGCTCCACGAATGCTCGCCAAGAGTTAGGGTTCATTAACCCGTTGCTCAAAACGCCACGTTTCGGCCGATGGGCCGTTCCTTTCTTTCACCAAAAAACCAAATGGGCCGCTGGGCCGAGCTGGCCCAACACTTATCTAGGTAGTTGAATATCAAGTGTATGTTGACATTTTTTTTGTCGGTATTAAAGATGGATAATAAGTAGAAGATGGAGGAATATACATAAAACAAATTATTTGATTACTCACGCTAATTATGTGTAACAACACATAATAAATATACAACAAACACAATAAATACCCACTTTTCAGTAGTTAAGTGTAATTATACACCCCGTAAATCAGATATTAACTCCATATTAAAAAAATAGTCTAACGAAAATATATCTTAAAAACGAATATTTTAGTAAACACATGATTTAAATAAAAATAACTTAATGTAAAGATTAAAGCATTACAAAAACAATATAATTAATAAACTACAAAATAAAAGATATTTGATGCTATAAAAAAATTACGATATTATAGAAATGGAGGCGCAAGTACGTCGAGAGAGAGAGAGAGAGAGAGAGAGAGAGAGAGAGAGAGAGAGAAGAGAGAGAGAGAGGATCCAACACAAAAGGAATAATGGTAACACAAGTGCTCGTGGTGTTGGCCACTTGTTTCAACTGCACGTGCACTTCACACGTGCCTCCTTTCTTCCTCTGCCACCTCATCTCCTTTTTTTTTAATAATTTTTTTATTATTAAAAACTATATTTTTTCTGATAAAAAAACAAATTTATAGCTTCTCTCTTCCCTTTTTTTTTTTTACCTCGCTTTAATTGTATATGACCGAAGCACAAAATCACTAAATTTCACTTTTTTCTGACCTATATGATATCTAATCTATATGCTGATTTTCGAAAATGCAATTTTGTATGCAATAATTTAAATTGCCGCATCGAAGAAATAGAATATGTTACAATCCAAGTTTCGCGTTGATTTCATATGAATATCGACCATAATTACAATCTACCGTATCAAGATAACACACGAGCTGTCTTTTTAATGAAAAAAAATACATTTATTTTGATTTGTTATCATTATTTTAAATAAATTTAATATTTGAAATTCCAGCATAGAGTCCAAAGTTTTAGAGAGATCTATTATGAATTATGAGATAGATTCTATTGTTTGCTCCTTAATGATTAAAAAATAGAGGTTTTATTTTCGAGATTAAAATATTTTCTTCGAAATCATTATGATTATTATTATTTTTAACATTTTTCTTGAAATTATTAATTTTTGGGTAAATTTTCTTGAAATTATTATTTTTTGGATAAATTTTCTTGAAATTATTGAAATGTTTTTTTGGTATGAAATTATTGAAATGTTGAAATATAATAATACAGTACACACACTACATGTATATATATACGCCTGGTGATACGTCAATATATACACACACACACACACACACACACACCAGTTATGAATACACGTATTTCTCCGTGTATGGTTTCTCCTCCATTTCTTTCCTTTCTCTCCGATCGGATTTCTCATCGAGACAGTTTTTATTTCATTGTTGCTTGAGACAGAGAAATAAAACTACAGAAGAAAAAAAAAAGCTCTCATTTCCCCCCTCCTGTCAAATCATACTGTAGATAAAAAGGTAACTTTTTTTTTTGTTTGCGGCAAAAAAGAACAAAAAAAAATTGGTTTCCGATGATGTCGTCCATCTATCCGTTTTTTTTTTCACTCTTTATTTTCTTCCTTCAATCAGAAGGAGAAGTGTGTAGAGAGAGAGAGAGAGAGAGAGAGAGAGAGAGAGAGAGAGAGGAAACTCCCTAGCTGTTGTTCATCTGTTTCTGATCCGAAGGATCCTCTAGATCTGATGCCTTTTCTGTTTCATTGACACGGAAACGGTGTCGAAGTAATTGCGAGTTTAATTGTGCAGTGAGTTCCCGTTGTCTTATCTCTTCCCCTGCCTTTTGTTTGGTCTGAATTCTCTCTCCTCCTGGGTTTTTAGATGATGGGTCGGTTTCTTTTCGATCCTTCCGGTCACTTGAAATTCAGGGTTTAAGTCAAAACCATGGCTTTGTTGCAATTTTGGAAATGTGAACACCGATGTAGTTTTCGTGGCTACCGCTGAAAGTTCTGCAACAGTTGATGATGTGGATTGTTTAGAAATTTTCTCTGATTTTGATTCGTGGGTTGAATTTCGTCTTCAAAGTCTTGGCCTTTATTAGGTCATTTGTTCTGATCTGAGTTTGAACTCAACGTGTCAATTATGGAGGCGATTCCGAGTTCAAGTTGTTTGGTTTTTTCTGCAGTGTCCCATTGGTCAAACGTTTGGATAAACTCCCGTTTGCAGGATCTCTGTCCTGATCGGGTCTTAAACCCTAGTTTCGCTTTTGATTGCTCGTGCCGTCCATTTCTTGATGTTTCATTTTCTCTGCAGAACAGTGAAGGGGGCGTTGGAGAGGTTTATTTGGGCAAATTGAAGGAACAGAGACTGGTGTTACTTGAATGAAGCACACTTGAAGAGAGGTTGGCCTTTGCTGAAATGAGGGATGTTATCAAAGTTAATGAATTTCCTGAGGTCATGTTGGAGACCCTATTCAGCTCATTCGGGTTCAGATGCCACGGGACGACAAGACGGGCTTCTCTGGTACAAAGATATTGGTCAGCATCTGGCTGGTGATTTCTCCATGGCCGTGGTTCAGGCTAACAATCTGCTGGAAGATCAGAGCCAGATCGAATCCGGTCCTTTGAGTTTCCTTGATGCTGGCCCTTACGGTACTTTTGTCGGAGTATATGATGGCCATGGAGGGCCCGAGACTTCGCGTTACATCAATGATCATCTTTTCCGGCATCTAAAGAGTAAGAAGAAAACCCTCTTTCTCCTGAAATCTTAAGTCTGAAAATACATGTTGGGATTGTTTAGGTTCTCTTTGAGATACATTGTTTTGATTTCTTGGGCAAAGAGGGGATCTATTTCTCTGTTTGTACCTGCATTCTGTTTCTTACTATCACAGTGTTATCTTTCAGGGTTTGCGACAGAGCAAAAATCCATGTCAGCGGATGTAATAAAGAAAGCATATCAAGCAACAGAAGAAGGGTTTTTGTCTGTAGTGACGAAGCAGTGGCCAATGAAGCCCCAGATTGCCGCCGTTGGGTCTTGCTGTCTTGCCGGTGTTATGTGCAATGGAACCTTATATGTTGCCAATGTAGGAGATTCCCGTGCTGTGCTCGGGAGGCTTATGAAGGCTACCGGAGAGACTATTGCCATCCAGCTTTCGTCTGAACATAACGTGGCCATAGAGTCTGTAAGGCAGGAGATGCATTCTTTGCATCCCGATGACTCACAGATTGTGGTTCTAAAGCATAACGTGTGGCGTGTGAAGGGCCTAATACAGGTAAGGCGGCTCTTGCTTAGATAAAACTAAACTAGGGAGATTCTAAGATTCTATCCACAAGGGCTTAGTGAACAAGTGTAAATATGTTCAAATCTTACAATTTATTAGACCCTCCATGTTTTCTGAAATTATGAGGGCTGCGTTTCCATGAATCTGCCCTGCATGCTATGTTCTGTGAAATCTTGTAATGGGAAACTTCATTTTTTTCCGAGTCTTTCAGGTTTCAAGATCTATCGGTGATGTGTATCTAAAAAAGGCTGAGTTTAACAGGGAGCCACTGTATGCAAAGTTTCGCCTCCGGGAGCCATTTAAGAGACCGATATTGAGCTCTGAGCCGTCTATCTCTGTTCATGAACTCCAGCCTCATGATCAGTTTGTTATATTTGCTTCAGATGGCCTCTGGGAGCACCTCAGCAATCAAGAAGCTGTGGATATCGTTCAGAATCATCCTCGTTCCGTAAGAATATATTTATCTCTCTCTCTCTCTCTGCAATCTTCCTTCTTGGACTGAGCCCCCAGATTCATGGATCCATACTATACTTACACCAAATACCCGAGTTTCGAGGGCATATTTCATAGGGTCATACCATCTATAACCTATGCCTTCTGCTAAAGTTTGGATCTTTAGTGTTTTTCTAGCATCAACAGCTCTGATTCTAAGGATTGATTGTCCATTTAATAGATTCTGTGATGTAATCTTAGAAAGTTTCGACTTTTCTTAGAAATCTTCCTTTTCTCACATGGCTCGTCATCTCACTCCAACAGGGTGTCGCTCAGAGGCTCGTGAAGACGGCATTACACGACGCAGCAAAGAAGAGGGAGATGAGATACTCGGATCTAAAGAAGATAGAGAGAGGCGTTCGTCGCCATTTCCATGACGATATAACGGTGGTGGTTGTGTTCTTGGACTCAAATCTCGTGAGCTCGGCGAAAGGAGGCTCTTCTTCTTCTCTGTCATTGAGAGGAGGAGGCGTCCATATACCTTCAAGAACCCTAGCCCCCACAGAGGCCAGCATTGTCTGATAATGATAATAAAAGCCAAATCCAGAATCTGGGTTTTTGTCGTTGGGTACAGTTTGGTTTATATGTGACAGAAATGTATCATCTTTTACGTTTATAGCCAATGGGTAGAGATAGCTGTAGAGATACACTGCATTTCCTGGAGTTCGAACTGACCTGGTAAAGATGATCTGTTTATGTTCTATTACATGCCTAAGTAGCTCTCTTGTGAATTCCTGCTGGGGTTTTTATGTTTTGTCTGAAAT